ACCACCTCCATAACATGATCTGTTTTAAAAATCCTACCATTTGTATATATTTATACCACCTGTGAAATGCCATTCTTTTTTACCTATTGCAAGTGTAGTTGCAAGAGCAACTGTGATTGCTTTTGCAACTACACTTGCAATATGGACAAAAATTCTCCTGGTTTTAGCCAATCAAGTCCGACTAAGGCGAATTTAGGAATTATGGTTCTGTCCTGCCTCTATGCAATGCGAGATGAAAACATGCCGGCTTTATCCGGGGTTCACTGTGACGATTTGGAACAAAAATACCTCACGAACTCATAGGTGGTTGTATTGTGAATTCCTTCGAAATGTTCCGTTGAAGTGCGGTTGGCCTCGTGACGGGATTGATTCAACAATACCACGCAGCTCAATGATTGGCTAAAATTACTTGTATTTCGACCACTTTTACACCCCTCCATTTCCTTTCGACCCACAAGGGAAGGTCTCGAAGAGATGGAAGAAGCAACAACATGCGCATCCTAACACTGTGTTTCACTGCCTGTACGCGTACTACAGTCTTGGGTTTTCTCGGCAACACCTCGCGATTGTCTACAACAAGACAGAACGTACGATTGGGAACTGGATCAAGGTGTACCAGCAAACGGGAGGGTACCAACGAACCCACACCGCAACCGACAAGAAGTTCACTGCCGCTCAGAAGCAATGGCTTCTTGATTTCTACGACCGACATCCACTCGCCTACCTCGACGAAGCACAAAGTGCTTTCAAGAGCGTTCAGCGAGTCGAAATTTCGAAGACGTCCGTGTGGCAAATCATCCATAATCTCGTAGGAAACTCCACAATTCTTTTGCGTGTCAAAAGATTCCCCTCCATTGCTTCAAGTCGTCGCCCAAACGCCTCCCAGTCTTGCCGCAGCCGAGCGAAATCCGCAAGTGACCCGTTTGTACAATCCAATGCCATGTGCGCAGAGCGGGAGATTGCAGTAAACTGTTCTTCGAGTCGGCTGTCGGCTGGCCGGAGCAAGTGGGCGATGTAGCTTGGTGGTGGATGAGGGATGGCATCTTCCCATGAAGAGCGATTCGTGTTGCGTGTGACGTGTGTAGCCCACATGCGCCATACAACTGCTTCTGCACGAAAATTTGTGGCCCACTGCTCTTGTAGCTTCGCCACAACATCCCGCAATGATTGCTCCGCAATTGCTCCTGATCGATCGGTATGCAATGGCCGGACGCAGGTTGAAACAAACTCCTCGAGGTGTTGCTGGGTAGATATTGCTGTGCCATATTCGAAAACAACCAACTGAATCCTCTCCCCACGTGACTTGACGAGCCATTGATTCATAGCTGATTCGCTCTTACCAATGTCCACGATATGCTTTTTGGACTTGAGCAGCATCGCTTTCGACCATTCGGACTCACATGCAGTCTCGGACACCCACGCGTTTT